GCATATTAAAATAATAATATTCATGTCTTCAGGTATTTTAAGTTGTTAAGTATAATTGTTGGTTTGTAATGCATATTAAAATTATGTTAGCACGTTCAGTATAAGAACACTATAACATATTTTCAATGTACTTGATGGAGTTGAGCTTGCTAGGAGTTAGTTTTTTTGAATTTGGGTTTATTAAATATTTTACAAGCATTTTTAATGCATTCATAAAATTACGTTCTTATTAGGTATAAATAATTACTAACCCAGGACTGATTGCTAAACTCAGTTTTATTAATGACAAAATTGTTTTTAGCAAAATCTAAATATAGAGTAATTTAAAGTAAACACTCAAAATAAGACAGATAATTTAAAACGCATTTCGAATATTAAAACTATCAAGTACAAATATTTAAATATAGATTTACATAACGAACCCAGCGGTATTAAAACTAATGAAATAATATCAAATTGTAAAATAGAACAGTGAAATACTCAACTTTGATAAACACAAATGAATTTTAATTTATATCTATTACTCATACTTTGTCGAGAACAAAGTGCGTTATGAATAACATACATTTTTAGTATCTCAATACATTCTTATTGTAATATTTAATCAATCCATCAATAGTGAAAATTATGCAAATTATTTTATATAATGTTACAATAATAAAAATTTTAAATATCATGCTCGTTTTGCGCGCTTACTATTAATACAACACTTTATTACAGTGAAATTCAGTCATTCAGGAGTCCGAGCATATGATTTTCCAAAATGTCATTTTAATAATTATTGATTTACATCAATGAATAAACATGTATATCAATAAAGATTACGCGATTATAGTGCTTTATTTTCTATATTTTTTTGCTCTGAAGTTATCTAAGCGATTTGGCGAGAATAGAAGATCCAAATTACCTTCCCACAGAACAAGATATATTACGGGCTCGTGCTCCTACAACGGGTATTATAGAGTATCCATTTGATTTAGACTCAATTGTATTCAGGTAAACTTTCCCATGTATTTCTTACTCAAAAGATTTTTAAAACAATGTTTAATTTTGTTAATTGTTTAATCTAAACATCTTCACAATTTTGATAGACTCAACAGAAGTGTCGAAATTTTATTCTGCGGGTTTAAATTTTGCGAAACGATTTGGTAACGTTTTCGTTTTGTCTTGTTCAGTTCAATATGTATAATAAAATAGTGCATGTTTCTTATTTTTAACTAGCATGCTTTGGTTTGTGTACTTTAACTTGCATGTGATAGAAATACTTATGATAGTCAATAATATCTATAATTTCAATATTTTATTGAAATTATTAACTAAATTTTATTTTGTAACATACACGTGTTACAGCATTATTTTTTGTAGCTGTATTATTTTTGAATTTTCAATATTTTTAAATACGACAATTGAAATTTATACAAATACTGTACAGTAAAATATAAATTTAATTTAATGCAATAATATTTTTATTTTATTCTACACACATCGCTTTGATTCTATTCCAAGTTACTCAAATTATTCATACTTTTTTAATTTAGGATGGTAGACGTCGGCGGACAGAGATCAGAACGAAGGAAATGGATCCATTGTTTTGAAAATGTTACGTCCATAATATTTTTAGTAGCGCTCAGCGAATATGACCAGATTTTATTTGAATCTGAAAATGAGGTATGTTAACCAATAAATATTGATAACTTTATAACTTTTAACAACTGTAAGGCCTAATAATTCATATCTATCTTAATCAATTAATATCAATCATATCAAACAAATCAATTTGTAAAACCAATCTTTATTAAAAAAATTTTACTGTATATTTGTTACTGCATTTTTATAATTGTTTTCATACCATCGTTTTCCGAAAACAATGCTTGTGTCAGATAAGTGGCACATACAACTGATGCTAATAACTTATGAGAAAATACTAAATTATTACTTTATTTTTAATTCATATACTAGATACTATCTGGTTAAGAAAAAATACCAAGTTCAGCAAGTAACTTCACAATATGTTCTATGTATTTTTGACCTAAATATCATTACTTAATATTTTATGAATGTATTTTACAAAGATTATACAAATAAATTTAATATTTTCAGAATCGAATGGAAGAGTCAAAAGCGCTATTTAAAACCATCATAACATACCCATGGTTTCAACACTCTTCTGTGATCCTGTTCTTGAATAAGAAGGATTTGCTGGAGGAGAAGATCATGTATTCTCATTTGGTTGATTATTTCCCAGAATATGATGGTATATATTTTTATTAATTTGCTAATCATTGAAATGACTTTGCATATTTGAGTACATTTTTTTTATTAATTACATTGATATTTGTATGTTGAATTAATATTGAAATAGTCTACAAACACCTGTTAATTTGTAAGAATTTGTCATATGTGTGATTTTTGAGAAATATTGACTCTACTTCACTTTGTTTCCCATAAAATGTCTTTAACAAACACTTCAAACAGATAGAAGATTGTCTACCGATTTAAGCCTTAGTAATATTGATATTAAGAAATGATTAAGTAAATTCTATATGACCTCTCTGAGACAACAAATTCATACATTTTATTAAATTAAATAATGCATGTGTATTTTACAATATTCACACAAATAATCAGGACCAAAATGTGATCATATACCGGCTCGAGAATTTATTCTGAAGATTTATCTAGATCAGAATCCTGACAAAGATCGAATGTGTTATTCACATTTTACAGCAGCTACAGGTCAACATAATAGAATAAATAATTTATGATAATTATGCAATTTCAGTATAGCTAGATAGCTAAATATCTTCTGCACACACATAAATCTTCCATATGTAGCTAGCTACATTAGCAAATGTAAAGACTAGTAATCTTTGGAAAAAGTATATTTTAAAAATAGTAGTTTTCAAATATTTTGTAGCTCTTCCGCCAAACATTATTTAAATTACTGATTACATCACAATACTTTATATCTACTTTTTATTTTTTATGTTGAAGTAATCTATATCTGAGTCATTAATTATTGAATGTTACTTTGTATCAATTATATATATTTTTATTTATAAATTTGTAAAATATAAATATTATACTTATATTTTACAAAGCATGCTTGTGATATAATCAGCAAGAAGACATCAAACCCATTAATAATATCAATTATTTAGCAATTTGCACAGCTTAAATCATGTCGCATTCCACATAAATTCATTTATTCGTCTCAGGTCCTCAACGTGATGCTATAGCAGCTCGAGAATTTATTCTAAGAATGTTTGTTGACCTGAATCCAGATAGTGAGAAAATTATTTATTCACATTTCACATGTGCCACAGGTAAACTTACTAAGCTGGTAAAAAGCTTGATTTGATAATTGTTTGTGCATGTTACAAAATGTTTGCATGTTCTGTGGTAAAAAGATGATTTTGTTGATAATTTTTTTTACAATTATAATTAGTGTTTGTGGTCACTAATGTTAGTTTTAATGTAACTTTATTTTATAAGTTTCATAAAATTACAATATTAATTTCTTTATTTCGAATAAAAGATACTACATTTAAAAAGGTTAAAACACGAATATTTTTTATATGGGCGGACTATTATGATAAGCGGGCGACAACACTTTATGGTTTGAGGTATTTACAATGACTATCAATATCATTTAGTATATTTTCTGTCAATCAAGTTTAATAATCAAACTTACAAAGTATGTAAAAAGTTAGCAAACATAATTCCTCACAAGTAGTTACATAGTGTATTTATTGTAAAATTCACCATTCGTAATTAATATTTTTAATTCATTTTGTATTAATATCTTACATAAGGCATAGCTTGATTTCATTTTGAAAACTTTGGCAATCATATCACAATGCACATTTCATTGCATTTTTAATAGATTTCTAATACAATGCAAAATTAAATGTGTCAATTACTAAAATTAATCTAATGCTGTTTTTTTATGCATGCATAACTTGTTGCGATGGAACAACTGATAAATATTTGCAAACTCCTGAAAAAAAAATCAATGGGAATCGTAAAATGCATGATGAAACTATATTCAATAAAAATAGATACTGAAAACATCAAGCTTGTGTTCTGTGCTGTTAAAGATACCATTATGCAGTCAGCTCTCAGAGATTCAAACCTTGCTTGAAAAAAGTTTAAAAATTTCTATGTAAAGGAAGAGGATATACAAATGCCTATGTTATGTTTCATGTTGTGTGCTTTAGTAAAAGTTTGTTTTTTTTATTATATAGAATTTTGTTAACATGATTTATTCAATGTCGTGCATTGTTAAGACTGTGGTGATGAGTAACGTTTTGATATTTTAGGCTCCTCTTTTTTATAAGTTTTGTTAAGTATGATTATGTTGATATATAAGTTATAGCAAATATATACTTCAATTAACAATCTTTCAAATTCTGCTTACAATGAGAATCTCTGCATACTAACCAATACTTTCCAATTGCTTATGATCTCCCATCCACTCGAACAACCTTCTTATGTGGTTGATAAATGATAAATCTGCTTAACTACTGTGTTATACTCACTCTTTTGATCGGATTTTTTTTTTTTTTTAACGCATTGCTCCCTGCACCGTTTCGAACATTACGAGCAACTCGACGCCACTTTTGAAAGAAAATGAATCGTACAGTATAATTTTATGACCAAGTACAGAATTATCATGAAATAAGTTTTATATGAATTTATCATAAACAATTATCAAAATGTATTTACTTCCAGAAGTATAAGTTTGATTACGCAAAAAATCCTGGACCGATTTTGAAAATGTTAAAACCGTTTAAAAGAATCATAATAGGGTGGTCGATAACATTGGAACAAAAAATTCAATATATTATTCTGTATTGAGCTAAAAAGCATCAAAATATTACTCAGAACCATTATTAATTTTTTATCCTTAACCATGACTCTCAATGTGTACTAATATTTGTTTTCTGTAAATTATTGTAAAATATTTAAAGTAATATTAATAAATGTTAAGTGCATGATTGTTGTCTTTTACAACGGCTAACAAATTTATTTTTTATGTTTAATGCTCTGGTAAGTACCTTATTGCCTATATGATATATAATTCTGTGTCATAAATTTAAATACTTTCAAAACGGCTTATAAAGATAAGTGCAATTATAAATTGAAACATATGAAAAATTGAAATTTTTCAGATACCGAAAATATCCGATTCGTGTTCGCTGCCGTCAAAGATACGATACTACAATCGAACTTAAAGGAATATAATCTCGTATAGGAGATTGCTGAATTAACAATTAAATTATTAAATCGGGAAGAACCCACTTATTGATAGAAAATTTATTTAAAAAAAGTCGAAAGAAGTTCACACACCTGTTATCCTCTGTTAAATACATCTGTAGAAAGAAAGGAATAATTATACTGACGTAGAGGTGGCAAATGGACTATCTGATATAAAAATGAGTACATATATACATATATTTATTACATATAATATTTATATCTATGTACATGTGACTGTCTTTGAATCTGACAAGAAATCAGTGTGTGCAGGCCAAATTGTTCGTTTTCATGGAAAGCGTGCCATTGTATGGAAATTTTGTTAAAAATTATCAATTTATATAATAACGATAAATTTATGATTAATTAAATTAATATATTATATATTATACCTATGAATTGCATTTTAAAGAAGTTAGTGTATTTAAGAAAGTTTCTTTGACGGTAAAAAACATCTTTGAAATAAATCGTGTAGTTGAATCGCAAAAGATATTGCAAAGTGATGAAAATGAATATTTTTAATTTGCCATCAATTTTATTATTATTTAACTGGTAATGATTAAAATATGCATGTAAAATGTGTATATATTTATATAGGAAATGTGTGCAATTTTAATTAAAAAAGAATTTATATAGCTATTATTTAAGTTGTACAGATTTTTAGCTAATCCTTAACTGTTGTGTTCTTAATTTTTCTATTAATTTCATTGAGCTTTGAAAGCGTATGGTGGTGAAAATATTGGTTTGAAATAGAATATTAATGAATGCGTCAAATTTCTACATCATACCCAATTCTGGTCATAAGAAACACAGATTAATCTTGAAGTTAGATAAATATGTGAATCAAAATGTAGATGAGCAATGTGAGTTGAAATAAATCAAGAAACGCAAATATTAACAAAAATACAATTTCGATATTTGAAAGTCAAAAATCAAAGAGAAAAAATATCGAACAAGTATTTCATAAACCAAATTTTAATATAATATATATAATATAAATAATATGTTCTGTTCTATGAACGCAAAAATGATAAAGAGAAATAAAATTACATTTTAAAAAAAACGTCGCACAATGTAAATTTTTCCAATTTTTTTTTACATATATATATACATAATATTATTAATATAAATATAGGTGTCGAGTATGAATTCAAACAATAAAAATCTAAAAATTTTGTAACAGGCATATGTAAATGCACCGAAAATACCGAAATGTTTCAATATTTTAGTTATAAGTTTCCCATCAATACTTTTCTAGGTTTCTATATTTTGTAGTTAAAAGAGTGTAATTAATTAATATATTAAATCTGACATATGTTAAAGATCCAGATTCAGAATCAATTTTATATAGAATATTAAGTTTATAAAATTTTCTGCACAAATGATATGTACGTAATATGCTGTGGGTACATTTTTGCATGTACTTTTTATTTTTGATCATCATTATTTAAGACATAACTTATTCCTGTGTAGACCACAAGATATATTAGAGTAAATAAACTCACTTTAAAAGTGAATTTTTGATAATGTATATGTGAATGCTCTTTGAGTCCCAAAAATATATAAGTATTTTATAAACGATGAAAAACTGAACAGTCCATTGCACAAACAACTATTTAGCTTGATCATTAAGTTGATACATGTAAAAATTGTCACTCGCATACAAAGATTTTTAAATGTTAATTTAAGTTTACATTTATTTGTTTATATAATTCTGTATTTGAGGTAAATAAGAACGTAGATTATTGAGTCAAATACAAATACTATTCTTGACATGCCAATGGCTAGTGATCTATTTAAAACTATATTCGAGCATTTGATTTAAATTTTACATCTAACGTTGTTGGTATGTTAAGAATGTATTTGTACGAATTTTAAATAGTTAGCAAAAGTTTATATAAAAATGTTTTAAATCCAAAAACAACCATTTTTGTACAACCCATTTTTCTTGGAATATCTTTCTTGGCATTTATAGCAGCTAAAATATTGTTTTACTTAAACGGGTTTGAGACATACAACGCATTTATTATAATAATTAAGCTATTTAATAAAAATAATGAAATGTGACATAATGTAGAACTATAATTAATGCAGCGTCTAGTAATGCCAAGAAATTGACATAACTTGAAACTTAAATTTAATCATCACCGTGTATTATCAATTCTTTTAGTAAAATGCTCAATAATTTTATTTTTCATATATGTTATTGTATTTTATAATTCATACCATTTCAATAGTTCTTTTAATTGGAATGAAGAGACATATATTATGAATACATTTTTCCACACATCATGTTAAAGCGTAAAACTTGAATGAATATAAAGTGTATGATTTTCTCTAAAACCTGATTAGAATTTTTTCTATGTCATTCTCACTTTCATACTTCAAAACAAGTTCAACAAAGTTAACCGCTTATTCAATTGATTCAATCTGAACTCTGTATAAGATATGAAAATGTTACTAGTAACAGCTCATGATTTGTATATTATTATTCATCCATAATATATTAATATAAATTTGTAAAGAAAATTATAAAAAATCATCTTTTAATGTGATGCATTTGATTTTCAAAGTTAATCTCAAACTCCAAGTACAATGCTGAGTTTTGGATAGCAAGAAAATTTTTGCTTGAGATTTTATTCAACATGTAGCATCTGTACAAAATTATGCATGTATATTTATATACATATGATTGGATGATATGAGTGATACATTTCAATAACACAGTATTTAACAAACAAAAGCTGGAGTGAAATATTTTTTTTATTCTTCCGATTCTGAACAAAAAATAGGCAGTAAATAAACGTTCTATTAGAATCTTTCTGAAATTACAAGAGAGTTTTCAAACAACCTCTTCAAAAAGTGGTAGAATTATAAAACCACTATATTAAAATATATATAAGAGAAAAAAAACATGTGTTATACATGTCGTGATAATTTGGAAAGGGCCAATCCATTTATCACACAATTTAACATGTAAAATGGCATGTGTTTTTTTTTTTTCTTTCGAGAAAACTTTTAATATTTTACTATGTTGCATTTTGTCGATTGTATAATTTATATAATTACATATATGAATTATGGTGTGCGCATATGTATATACATTTGAATGATGTAATGATGTAAGCATGTACATATGCGCACATGAAAGCACCCATAGAATTAATTATGTGAAGAGAAATAGAAACACATTAAGAAATGTGTTTGTTTTTTTAAAGAGAAAAAAATCAGTTTAATTGTACTAATTTAATTATATATATATATATATATATATATATATATATATATATATGTATACATATAAATATATAAATATTATAATATAACATGAATATTGCTTTTTTGTATGAATGAATGGAAATGCGTGCATCCAATGTTTTGAATCAGTTGTTTGTAGTGCATTTGTAAACCATATCCTTGAAAGTATACATTTTTCTGAAATGAATTTGTGTATTTTATTTACATTATTTCAATATTATGAATACAATACATAACAAATGAATAAGACAAAATTACTTACTGAAAATGGTTATTAATTTTGACAAATACCCAAGTGAAATTTGATAAACCTAGTTGCTAATTTAATTTCAATTCTTCACGGATCAGAGACATAGACTCTGAGAAAGACCATCAAGAACTACCACTGGAGACACTTGGGCGAAGAAAGGGCTCTACAGAGCACAATCCAGAAACGAAAAAAAAACTGGATCGAACCCGTTCTGTAAAGAGTGCCTTCTGCACGATGCCTCGAGGGCAAAATCAAAGGACTGAAAGAAATGGGAAGAGGAACGATGAAAATTATTGACGACTTACGCGACAAGAGAAAATACAGGAAACTGAAAGCCGAAGCGCAGGATCAGGATGCATAGAAGCTTGGAAAGGAAAATACATGCAAAAAGGGGGGGAGAATAGTGGCAATGGAAATGATAGAGAATATAGGGTAGAGGAATCATTTATTTGTCGAGACTCTCATACCGTGGACCTGCCTTCGTGGAGACTACCCTTTATTATAATTACACAACGCAAAAAATAATATATATGAAATTAATTTAGATATTCAAAACAATCAGAAACAAACATTTAGTTTGAATTAAGCAATATTTTTATAATATCTATCCAATTTTTGCTATTGGACATAGTTACTCATCATTGTAATCTTTCGAATTTAGTAATTTTTAGTTTTGAAATTTGAATTTCGCGCTTCGACATTGCCATTTTGATTTGTTTAGTTCTTCATAGCGGTTCGTCTTTGATGGCGGCCATTTTTATAGCGAATTTTGTGATAAACGCGTGCAAATTAATTAATTTTTGTTTTTAATTAATTTCCTCATTAGTTGTCATTAATTAATGCATTTTACTGTCCTACTAATTATGCACATTAATTTGATATAAAATTCGTGTGTGATGATATGTTTTTAGAGCAGATATGTGACAATGTTCTTCAGCCTTAATCTATGATAATTATCTCTGTCAAAATTTTTAAATCGAATTAATTATATAATCAAATACTATATTTACAGCTTCCAATGTATCCTTTATATTTATTCATATATGCAATTGTCAAATATGTATAGATGGGTGTATGTGAGATTCCGAAGGCTGCAAGTACTTCTGTAATATATCTGTGTGTTGTCAAATTCTAGATCGCCTATTTATTCACAAAATTCTCTAATATGTTCGTTGCTTTGCGTCGTGTCGTGTGTTATGATTGAGTCACGAAGACTCTACTTGAACATTTGCAAATTATAATTTAAGTGTATAAAGTCAGTGATCAAAGACGTGTATGTAGTGATTTACAAATGTTCAGCTTTGGGACTTCTAGCAGATGCTTTAGAGGATTTATTTTGAGGAGAAGACTCGGATTTAATCCTATGCAACATGTGGAAACGTCAATGTGAGTCCAAGCAAACTTTATACACCGACGAGTCAATGAATACTTTTCTGAAATCATAAACAGGAATTTATGTTTTTATTCATATGCATTGAAACATACAACAAATAATTTATTGCATTTGTATTGTA